GGCGGGCCTCCTCCACCCAGCACCACTCTGGTTCTGTTCAGCTGGGTGTTATAAGTTGACCACCAGTTGTCAATCCCCACACATAGCATTAACCTCTTGCAAAGAGGACAATATGTTTTGAGTGAAAGGGCCAGTTGCAGAAAAGTTAATATTGAATGTATAATAGTTTAAAATATTTACTAAATATATATATACTCTGAATAGGCATTTACATTCACTCAGTGTTAATTGTTACATGTTATACTGTACAATGTACTTATAAATTATGCATAAATGTCAAATAAAACTATCCATATCTCATCTCATATATTGTACATTTTGTAGTACCTGATTATTTTAAAATGAACACATATATGACTATTGGCATTTTAGCTACATACGTAAACAAGTTGAATGTAGTCATGATTCCAAAAGGTATAAAATACTATACAGAGATCAAGACAAGGCGCCAAAAATTGTGTATTAAATTTGACCATGAATATCTTCATACCAGCACTGTCCAGGCCCAGCTTGTATTGAGTTGAAGAATTGATGAAGTTAAACAGTAGACAGCAGTGTTAGCTTTCACTTCAAGCAGCTTGATTAAAAACAGTAGGAAAATAGGTAGCATCTGGACAGAGGCTAGCAAAGGTGAGTGTTTGGTTGATTTTGTTCTAATTTTATTTTTTAAACTACAAGAAAAGTGTTTTTATAGGTCAAAATAACAAGAGAAAAGCTGAAGATATATGAGACAATGCAGATCGCTGTTTCATATCTGGACTTCTCTGAAGGGTGTCTCACATTTCCTGGAAGTAAGTTCACACATGCTATGTATCTATCTTCCACCTAAACTCTTGTGCATGAGAGCCATCAGAGCGAGGCCTCAACCTAAGTTCTGCTGGCGCCCTCCATGACAATGGTTCTGTTGAATTCCACAGTCACTTCTTTTGCTCGAGTGACTAGGTGTGTAGTCTCTGACTAAACAGACAAGCACATGGAACACTGTGTCAGAGCATGCAGGCAATTACTGCCTTTCCAACTTCAGAGCTATATTCATCACTTTGGCTCCAAGTTACTCCTCCATTTCCTTCATTTATTTATGACTGTGTACCTGGGAGCTTGCATAGTTCCCAGCACTCTGTGGATGTACCATAAATACTCCTTACGTGAATGAAGAACTAGTGAATGGTACATTCTCAGAAAATTCCAAACACATGAAACCAAACAGCACGGACTCTCACCCTACTTAGGAAATGATTTTGACAAAAGAGATGAAACACATGATTTTAAGGTACAAGAGTTACTAAAACATATAATTTTAAGAACATCATTTTTATGTCATAGTTGTGGAAAACATCCAATTTTTGTAAGCTATTGCATCCACTGAAGCAAGAAAAATCTTTTGAGTTTCTAAAGAGTTTTCTGAAAGATTAGCGCTAATGTCAACTCTCTCCTCCTCTCACATCTCAACTAAATTCAGGTTTCCCCTAATTTATGAATTAATTCTTATGAATAAATGGTGATGAAGTATCATTTGCAGAAACGTAGATGATTTTAGTTTCGCTGTGGAGAGGTACTGGTATGAGATGGGGTGTGTAGAAACCTGAAAGAGTAGCGTGCTGCAGTAAAGGAAGTGACTCCAGAAAGAGTAACAGGGTGTGTGTGCTGCTCTGTAACTTGCATGTTACAAAGTTTTGCAGCCCTGACTTTTGCAGCCTCTTCTATAAGTTTGTAACACTATGGCCCATGTCATAATGTTTTTAGGTTGTGGGATCCCTTAGGGCGCCTCAGTATTACCATGCCCTGTTACTAAAATCAATAAAAAACTATAACCACCTAATATAAGCACAATAAAAAATGGCCCAGAGCCTTCAAACATAAGGGTATGGTTCCCTATACCAGGGAAAAAATCAAGATCTGCCGAGGGGCTTGCTAAAGGCCAAGAAAATACAAAATGGGTAATAAAAAAAGGTAGTTCTAAATACCAGCTACGACCCTGTGATCAGCCACAGAGTTGGACAAGGGAGCGTGGGGAGGGTGTCTGCACGCTGGAGATTGAAGAGCCCAGGCCCAGGCCTGGAGCTCACTGCAGTGTCTGCGCAAGTCCGTATCAAAGGGCTGATGGGTCTGCGATGGAATGCTGAAGAATCTAGGATGAAGGCCGGAGAGCCAACACCAGAAGGCTGAAGAGGCCCAGGTGGAAGCCGAACAGTCTGCACCAGAAGCCAGGAGACCACCAAGCTGAAGGCGAAGACTGGAGCTCCTCCAAAGAACCAGCAGCCAGGCCTTCCTCGATTCCCTTTTTTTTATGCAGTCTACCTGCACTGGGGGATGGGGATGGTCCTCTACACCCACACCCTCTGCATGACTTTCTCTTGCACGGGAATACAAAGTAAGCACCCTGGCTCCCTTCTGAGTCACATAGTTAACCTTTTAAACTTCTCAAATTGACACAATAAATAACATCCCAGAAGGGTAAGGGTATGTCCTTTTAAACCCAGGATGCAGAACCGCTGAGTCACTCGGCGAAATCTCTAAACTCCCCAAGTTGACACAATGTATCAACCATAACAGACATAAATTACTGACTGGCAATAAATACATTTTTACACTGTTATTTTAAGTGTCCATTTCAGAAGCCTCAGGACCGTGAACAGTCAACATGTTCTTAGGCTTAGAGTATTTGAAAATTGATCAGGCATAAAAGCACAGTAATGTGTTGGGGAAAAAATCTAATTTTGGATTTTCTGCTACATCCCTGCTCTTAATTTCTAACCATAAACTTTTCTGAGGACTAAAGTGAAGTATAAATGGGTGTGTTTCTCTCCTGTTGCCCCTCTTTTCATATAGGTTTCCGTTTTGTGGGTTTAAAATGTATATTAAATGACATTTCATGTGTTATGTTCTAAATTGAGCACTGTGGGGGAATCTAGAGAAATCTTCCCTGCAGATTTTGCAACATGGTACGTCACACAGAAACAATCCACAGAGATGCTGATAAATCCTTGGAGTACCGTGAAAGTATAGCTGACTATGCTCACAAGCTAGAAAGAAATGCTGCTGATCATCACAAAATCATCCTCTGTGATCTTTCAAAATAAATATCGTGAATGGGAAAACTTTTGCTGAATAAGGTGTTAAAAAATACATACTAATCAGTATTATAATTTAAAAAATCAATCAGTACTATAATGACAGTGTATTTGTCCAGCAAATTTAAACACATGAATGCATCAAGATGGGTGAAATGATTATTTTTTCTTCAGACCTTGATCTTATACCTCAGTGTGAGAAAAATGCTCCTGGTCTCCTATGAGGAGAAATATGTGCTTTAATTTTTTCTTGTTTTAATTTTCTATCAAAATACAGCTGGAACAAAACAATACATATAGCTAGATCAGTCATGCCACCCAGTTTATGGAAATGGTTGGATTTAAACTGTGAAGAAAACAATATTAGTGTCTTAGTATCCATGAAAGCTCATGGGTCAAAAAATAAAATACCTGATTCCTGGAATTCTTAGAGGGAAAACTCTTCTTATGAGTTGATGTATGGGAATTAGTAGGTTCTTATACCTGTTTTTGTTAGACTGTGAGTCTGGTACACTGATAGCCTCACCTTGTGCAGATCTAATATGTAAATAACTATAGAAGCACTTGTAATTAAATATAATTCATAACTTTTTCATAATTCCTTCACTAAATAAGAAAGTAAATTTGAAAAGATGAAACGAATGAATATGGTCCAATAATCCACAAACATTTAACCTTTGTCTGTATAAAGTGCTTATACCCAGCATACACTGAATTTATCGATCCATCAGAATAAAAATTTATTCAGCTAAATAGATTTCTTAGACTATGAACATAATCTTCTCAGCCATAGTAGGCCAGAAGTCAGAAGAATTCTGCAGATAAAGTAAAAAATGTTGAGGAGAAATCCAAGGAAAAGCAAAATATGCCATCTCTTCTCTCATATCCCTCAATTTTGTGCTCCCTCAGATCATAAGCTCTCAAAGCTAGTTAGTAAAAGACAGAAGACATGGATACAAGTATTCTCACTAAAAATCAATAGTTTTTAGTTTTAAGATTTGGGAAAGTACTGGACTTTTCTCAGGATGTCAAAGAAATCTGCTGTCCTCTAAATGGGAATAGATATGACACTCCATCCAACATAATATTTATCCACATTATTACCTGAAGCAGTAGGCTAATTTTCATTCTCATTTTTAATTTTGCATGTTTGTTATGCAAATATTGACATGTGAGCTGAAAAAAATATAGGCTCTAGAACAAGAACATCTTGATTTTGTAACCTCTTCTCCGTAAGCACTATTTATTTACTCCCTTTATACTCAGGATTCTTAGAGTGCCACAGGAACAAAAATTAAAACATTGAAAAAAATACATAACCTTTAATGGTTTTATATGATTTAGAGATTAATGTAAAATTGAAACAGAAAGCTCTCCAGTGGAGAGTGAGTGAGGTATTTTACATTTTTCTGTTTTGCTTTTTTTTTCCATAACAGAAAGCCCTCTGCAGTTTGAAAGATATAAGGAGCTGTAGACTATGAAATAATGTTATGTATGCCAAAAAAGCAACATAAAAAGGCACATAATGTCCAACTGCAATACTGCAAAAAATACAGGGAGTTGTTTTGTTCTGTTTTGTGTTTATCCAGGAATCAAACTCAGGACCTTGCACTTGCCAGGCAGGTGCTTGTCCCACTGAGCTATATCCCCAGCTAGTGCAAAAAATACAGAATATAAAGATTCTGTTCAAAATGTTAGAAAGTGACCATCTCTCCCTGCTATGTTGCCTCATTTTTTCTTATCCTACTCTCTTTGTCTCAAAAGTTCTTTTGGAACATATAACAATTCTGAAATGCTATACATCATTATAAAATTTTTAACATAATACATGAAAAGGTAAAGAAAGAATAAATATAACCAAAATTCCAACATAATGCTCCTGTTTCACCAATGTCTAATTTGTTCACAACCCAATACATTTTATAATCACTAGCTAAAGAACTGTTTGTTCAGTAGATTTTTAAGTGCCTCCTTCACATCTTTATTTCTAAGACTGTAGATTAAAGGGTTCATCATGGGCGTCATCACCCCATAGAACATAGATATAAGTTTGTCAGTAGCACTCAAGTTATCTGAATCAAGTGTGTCTGTAGACTTGGGTTTCATGTACATGAAGAGGATAGTGCCATAGAATATTATCACCACAGTCAGATGGGCTGAGCATGTAGAGAAGGCTTTGCTTCTCCCCTCAGAAGAGCTTATCTTGAGGATGCTGTAAACGATTAATGAGTAAGAAATGACAATCAAGAGCAGTGGCATCAACGTGAACACTGTCGTGGCCACAAGCATGATAAATTCATTGTCTGAGATGTCAACACAAGCCATCTTCATGACAGCCAGAATTTCACAAAGGAAATGATCGACGACATTATTTCTGCAGAAAGGCAGTTGTACCACCAACCCAGTTTGTACTGCAGAATTGACAAACCCTGCAAACCAGGACCCTGCTGCCATGGGGACATAGGAAAACTTGCTCATGATAATGGGATACCTCAGAGGGTTGCAGATAGCCACATAGCGGTCAAAAGCCATCATGCCCAGGAGCACACACTCTGTGGTCCCCATGGCCAAGCCAAGGAACATCTGCCCTGCACAACCAGAGAAGGAAATGGTCTTTTTCTGGGACAGGAAGCTCACCAGTGTGGAAGGAACAGAGGTGGTGGTGTAGCAGATGTCCAAGAAGGAGAGGTTCCCCAGGAAGAAGTACATAGGGGTGTGCAGGTGAGAGTCCAAAATGCTGATTATAATGAGGGTGCCGTTGCCCAGAAGGATGACCACATACATTATTAAAATAAGCACAAAAAAGAGAAGCTCAAGCCGTGGGTAACCAGAAAGCCCCTTCAGAATAAATTCCACCAGAATAGTTTGGTTTTTCCATTCCATTTTACTGCTTCTCTTTTACCTGTAAAACTTAAAAAAAAATTTAAATAATTTCTTTTAATAACAAGTCTGTATATGCCAATCATACATATAAAAATTTGCAATTAACCCAATGAGATGAAAGAAGTAAAATAAAGCAGAGAAGGAACAGAGAAAAAAGGGAAAACATTAAAAATAAAGGAAAAGAAGTTTGAGGGTGAAGTTAATGTATCGATTCTCATCTTGGCCTAGGAATTTGGTGAACTTGTTTTCATACATTACGTCTTTTAACTACTACAATATTAACATTGTAAAATTAGGAAACTTAAAGTAAGAGTGTTAAGCCTAAAGTTATATAATGTGGCTAAAACTCAAGCTTGCTTTTTGTGGCTCTTACTTATCTGAGACATTTCTATAAACCATAAAAGTAATACAGAATTCATTATATAAGATATACAACAAGTTACTTTAAAAGGAAAATCAGGATTATCTCAACAGTAATATATTAAGTATCAAAAGAAGTTGACCCATCTGAAGGAAGCACGGTCAGAAACGAACCCTCTCTTATTCAGTGCTTGATTATCCAAAAAATAAGTCCAATCTATGTAATGTCCAATAATATGAGGCTTTCTTGTTAAGATACAAATTCTTTTGGGAGGAAAGAGATAGAATGATTTTACTGTTTTATTTTTAAATTATCCTACGTTTAAATATACATTACAATATCCTACATCATATTGTAAATTGATTTTTTGCCTTTTTAATATTCAGCTGTAAGAATTTTAAAATATGTATAGATCCAAATAACTACCACCATAACCAGATCCCAAACCTCTTCTATATCTTCCCCAAATACTTCATACCAACCTGTTTTTAATTCCCTCTCCCACTTATTCATAATCCCTGTCAACCACCAATGTATTTTCTGTCTCTATCATTTTATTTTTTCCAGAGTGTCCTACAAACAAATAAAACCAAATTGAGCTTCCTTCATCCAGCATAAATCCTGTAAGATTCATTCAAGTTTTTATTGCTGTTTTATTTCATTGCATTGATGTATGACAACTATTTATCCATTCATCTTTTAAAGAATGTTGAGTTGTCTCCAGATTGGGGCAGCTATGAAAAGAGTTGCTACACTTATTTGTGCCCATGTTTTTAGGCATTAGTGGTTGATGTTCTAAGATTAAGATCCAGTAGTGGGGAATAATCATATGAAAAGTGCATAGGGGCTGGGGTTTAGCTCAGCGGCACAGCACCTGCCTGGAAAGAGCAAGGTCGTGAGTTTGATTCCTGGTACCAGAAAAAAAAAAAAAGAAGAAAAGAAAAGTGCATGTTTAAGTTTGTAATTAACTGAGAATTTTTCTGAGTGGCAGTATCAATTTTTCATTTCAACTAACAACGTATGAGAGTTCAAGCTGCTTTGCATCCTCATAAAATCCTAGTACTTGTCAACAATTTTTAAATGGATTTTAATAGATATAGAGATATTTTATCCTATTTGTTTTTTGTTTTTTGTTTTTTGTTTTTACGGTACCAGAAATTGAACTCACAACCTCGCACTTGCCAGGCAGGCGCTGTGCTGCTGAGCTAAATCCCCAGCCCCTTTATCCTGGTTTTAATCTGCATTTCCCTAATGGCTAATGATGTCAAATATCTTTCCATGTACTTTGTGCCATCCTTAGATTTTCTTTAGTAAAGTATATGTTGATATATTTTGCCTTTTTTTGGCAATACTTGGGATTGGACCCAGAGCCTTCACACTAAGCTACATCCCTAGCCCTTTTATAGTTTTTTATTTTGAGTCAGTCTCACTAAATTTCTAAGTTGCCCTGGCTGTGCTTAAACTTCAGATCCTTCTGCCTTAGCCTCCCAGAGTGCTGGGATTGAACCCATGTGCCACCATCCCTGGATTTTGTTTGCCAGTGTTGAATTGTTTTCCTGTTGAATTTTGAGACTTCTTCATGTATTCTGGATGAGTTCTTTAACATATATAGGAGTTGCATATTTTGTTTCCCGATCTGTGGCTTGTCTTCTCATTCCCTAAAGCAAAAAGCTTTTAACTGATTTCTACTTCAGTTTAACTGAAAGGGATCTGAAAGACAGCCTGTGACTAAAGAGACATCTTCCAAAAGAGTAGTTCTTTGACACTTCTCCCTTTGAGTGATTCCTCATGGAAATAGCGATTCAGATGTCAAAACGGTACATGTTGACTCCAAAGCCCTCCCTCAAGTCTCTGCCATCTCTTTCAATTTTTCACCAGGAATAGTCCCTTCCTGCTCCCTCCCCCAAACATACACATTTCCAGTAATATCCTTATCCATGGACACAGAATCCACTGAAAGTAGTCAAATTAACTCACAACACAAAAGTAATTTCTGGAAATAAACAGACACTTAGGCCATTTATCCTTATTCACAAAATGACACAAGTTGAAGCCTTGAATGGAATTTTTTGAACCTATTTCAGCCACCTTTAAACTCTCAGATATGACTTTGGCCATCTTTAGGATATTTATTTTCCATCAGATTTTACTATTATTTCTTTTAATTTCTGTAGACTCTGGATTCATTTGTATGCTAACTATGCATTTATTTTATCTCAATCTTAGATTCACTTTCTTAATGCTGTGTTATAGATCAAGTCAGCCAAATTCCAATTCCCAGGTAAATGGTGGCTGAGAAGAGATCTCACTGCTAGAATCATTTTTCTAACCACTGTATCCTACAACTTATTGTAATGGCAGGTTCATTTTGCCTAATAGAAAGGATATGCATTTAAATTCTGTGTTGGCTTGTTACTAAATATGTGACTTTGGGCAATATATTTCTCTGACTCTTAGTCTCCTCACCTATAACATGAAAAGTTTAACATTCTTGTTATGAGATTCCTGATAAAATAAATAAGGTAATACAGGTAAAACGTGTAGCACATGGTAAGCACTATTTTGGGTTTTTTCATCTTCTATTGATTTGGGTTTTTTTATCTTTTACATTTCCCAGTATCATCACCTTCCTATAAGAGTATATTAAATTTCATAAGTCAGAACTCATGTATATGGTCTTTTCTTAATCAGTTCAAACTAATATTTCAAATTAATATTTATCACATCTATTATATAAGATGGATGCACATTCTACCATTCAACTCATTTTGCAGTGAAAAGCATTAAATTACTATAGCAGAAATGAATTGTACTTTCAAACAAAGAACTTAGAGGAGATATTTTTGATGAACGCTATTTCTGTTCATTCATCTAAAAATCTCAATTGTATTTGTGTCTAACATATATTACATCTAAAGTCACCACAGAAAGTTTTTACTAAAAATATAGGAATTTTTCAAATATTTAAAACCATCCTCTGAATACACAAACATAAGTCAAAATTCTTTCTGTTTGCTAACAAATCATTGCTCTTCTATGTTTCTTTTTTTTCTTTTCAAAGAAAAAAAGATGTATTCAAAGATGTATTCAAGAACAATGTTTTTCCAAAGAGCATGTCCAGGTGGAAGCTCCAGAACACAAAACATTGTCCACCCATGATTAGTCTGGGCAAACATTTACTAAACTGATCAAGCAAAACGGAACTGATGCTATGAGGTAAATATTAATACTAAATATTCATCTGTTTTGCATATTCAGATTACCTTGGATTTGCAAATATATTTTTGGCCATATTTTCTTTTTTCTCAATTTTCTAACTATATCTAAGAAATTTTTTTTGTCTTTTTTGAGACAGGGTTTTGCTGTGCAGTTCAGGCTGGCCTTGAACTTACTTTGTAGCCCAGGCTGTTCTCAAACTCGCAGCAATCCTCCTACCCCAGCATCCTGAGTGCTGGGATTACAGGTGAGTGCCACCATGCCTGGCAAGACAATTCTTTTGGAATGTTTTATTTCTATTCCTTAAGTACTTTATCTAATTTGAAATATCCCATTTCCACAACACATGACTTGTTTCAATCCAGTTTATAAAGACTAACCCTATGTTAATAGTAAGTTTCCAACAATTACCTTTAAAGGAAAAGTCAACGTACCTTTTAGGAGGCAACACAAAGCAGAATTCCTTCTCCTTGATCTTATTTTTTCAGGCTATTCTACAAATATTCAGTGAGTTTGATTAATTTCTAAAGAAGGGATTACTATTGGGGAGCCATAATGTCATGGGAAATTTTATCTGAAAAATACTGATGATAAATTATTTAAACTTTTCTATATATTACAGTCCAAAAGTTTCCAAGGGTGTGTGTTATTGTTCTGGTAGTTCAAAGTAAGAAGAGGACAAATGCTGAGTAATTCAGGTTTAGAATATGGCACGTTTCATTTGCCTTTGAAGCCAATGCACAAACACTGTCACACGGTGCATCCCAGGAAATTGTCCAAAGGATCTTCTTCAAGCTCAGGAAGGCAATTTAAATACCTTTCACTCTCAGGGACTTCTGTGATTTTCTAAGCCATCATTTTAAATTGCTTCAGGGGAAAGATGTTCAAAACTTTTGAAAATTTCAAAGAATAATGCCCTAAAGGCTTAATTATATTAGACCTGTTTTTGTATTTTAAATAACCAATCAGGAGTCTTAGGGACAGACCTTACACTATCCACCATCTATTATTGTATTATTCTAAGAGCCTTACTCAAACTATATTCTTATGATTTTGTCCAGTCTTTTGTTCCTTCTGTTATTTCTTATTGGCAAATAGTAAGAATCCATTAAGCTAACATCAATTCTTGGTTATTAACAATAATAACAGCACATAAATTTCCAGTCATTGTTATAAATCTTTTATACATGTTAAGTCACTTAATTCATATTTTTTAAATTAGTAAGAGAAGAAAATTGGGTTTAAATGCATGAGTAACCTAAAAATAATTGTATTTGGCTCTGAACTTGGAATTTGCATGCTATTTTAGATGTGGGTGGCGTTTTCAAATTCACAACAAATTCAGAAATTTTTAAGCCAATCAACAATTACTTAGAAGCTCTGGGGTAGTTCAGGTTTGTTTGGTTTCTTTTGTTGTTTTTAC